AAAATATTTCCATAATTAAGACATATTATTCCCTATTTAAATAACATTAGATTTAACGAGTGCTTAGGTTTGCTGCTACGGGGAAGGTAAAAAGTGTTTTTTGACCATACGTCAATAGTAGGATGAAATAAATAAATTTGCCAAATTTTATCAATATATACCCATAAACAAGTAAACTACAACAATTTTCATTTTCTCCATAAGAATAACATGGGAATTTTTAATTACACTATTTTTGAATTTTCTCCGTGACCATTAGGCATACAACATCACTTCAATATACTAAATTATTTCTTTTTTTAAGCTCTACAAAATGGTTTAGAAAGAAATCGCAAAATTTTTTGTTTTTAGGTTCAAAAATGGGAAAAACCCATTTTTACCCCATAAAACCCCCCATAAACCCCCGTTCCCATGGTCCGATTATGCTGGATCGCGAACTCGTTCGAATAAACGTAGGTTTACACGTTTGTACCAAATTTCATCAAAATCGGATCATTTTTGCTCGAGTTATCGCGCTAACGGACACATATATATATATATAAATATATATCTTAATATATATATATATATATGAATTTGAACGGATGGTGTTTTTGGCCTCTAGGGACCTCAAAATGAAAAATTTAATCGGTCTCGGGTCCAGGTCTTACCACGAGTACTACGGTAATAGCTTATTCCCTATAAGTTATGGGAAATTCGCTAAAAGAAACAGACTTCAACCCAATTAAATATTTAATTTTGTTTTGTTTAGCTTGTCTGATATGTGGTTTGTGTAAATTATGATTCACTATTCATTCATAGAACTATAAGTAAAACCATTGACTATATATACCTACAGTACTGTAGGTATATATAGTCAATGGTTTTACTTCAATGGTAAAACTTAAGGGTTTGGTTGCAGAGTTATTTTTATAACACATCAATGTTAGCAACGTTGTGTTAGGCAAATAAAATGAAACCATGGACTATTAAACATCAAATAAATTAAAAAGATGGCACCTAAAGTTAGGCTTGTTAAAGTTTAGGCTGATTGTAAACACAAATGTGTGTGTATGCGTTGGTAATGTAATAAAACTGTTTTTTTAAAGATAGGCCTAAATAATATAGGCTTAAACCACAGATACTTGAACTTATAACTTTAAGGTAGGTAACATTGAAAATAAAGGTTGGCTATGTTTGGTTAATTTTAATTTTATCAATTTTTTACATAATTAAGTAGGTAGGTCTTAGCAGCTCGAATAAACATTTTATATTGGCTGTACTGTACTGGAGCGAGTGAACTAATCAAAGATCAGACAATCGGAATATGACGTCACTGGTATCGAATGGATACGATACTGATGGTATCGATACTTTGGTTCCGATACTGAGCCGGTATCGATACTTTTTTGCGATACGGTATCGATACCAAATATCGGAAAGACAGTGGTATCGCAACATCCCTACTGCATCTAGCGATTTTATTTAATCTGACAGTAATCATAGAGTAGTAAATTAAGGAAATGAGAGCCAAAAATGTGGATAACACTCATTTAATGGCCTCCATGTCCACACAACATTGTATAGGGAATGAAACGGCTGCAACCAGCTGTATGAAGCCAAGAAAGTGGGCCTAATTTTTTTGAAAATCTCAGTTTGAAAGGTTTCACGTAAGGTTGAGGTTATGATAAAAATCACTATCTCAAACAATGTTAATGTAGCGAGAAAAGTAGCTAAAATTCCGCTACAACTACTTTAAAAATGTAGCTAGCTACAGCTAAAGCTACAAAATCTTAAAAGTAGCGTAGCTACAGCTAACGCTACAAAAAAAGTAGCGCGCTACTGTAGCGTCGCTACTTGTAGCGCGCTACTTCCCAACACTGTGAATAAGGTATTATTTATGAGTAGGGATGGACGAGATTGGATTTTTAGTTCGAGACGAGACGAGACAAGATTTTTTATTTCTCATAAAATTTCGAGACGAGATCGAGACGGGATTTCCCTTCTCATACACAACGGGAAATGCACGTTCAAAATTTTTACCTGATTTTGTAACATTGTTAGATGACTGTTTAAATACAAAAATAATGATAATAGGCAAGAATATTTACAATCTTTTATTAAAAAACATCAGCATAACATTTTTTTATTAATCACGCCTAACTTATTAAAAATGCCTACGATTAGGAAACATAGTGATATCAGTTAGGATAGAGTTCAACTTATCCTAAAATAAAATAAATCATAAAATAAAAGCAATATTAATTTTTATAAAATAATTACTTGTTTTGACTTTTTATAGTAATAAAACATTCCTCACACTGCTTACACTTAACAAAACTTCTCAAATGTTATTAAAGTAATATTATTAAAATAATTAAAGTAATATTTACATTTAAAGAATTAGTTAAATAAGAACGCCTTCGCAAAGGAAACGCAACTACAACACGCTCCTCAGGTTAATGACTTCTCTTATGTAGAGTGAAATTGATGTGAGAATTTTCCTGTATTGCGGGTATTGCATTGACTTTCTGCAGGCGTTTTTAATTTTTTTAATTTTTTTTTATTCTCGTCTCGATAAAAATCTCGGCCAAAAAGAAATCTCGTGTCGTGTAACGAGATTTAAAATTTCCCGAAAATTTCCCGAAATTTCGAGACTTGACCATCCCTATTTATGAGCTAATTGATGTAAGCCAATTTTTTCCCCTTCTTATTTATTTGATTAGTACCAGGGGACCGAGCATTGCTGGTGGTATTTAATTTGTTCTAGACGTTAAAATAATAAAACTTAGGCCTTCGTATGTACAATTTCCTTGATATTATGAAGTACAGTCTAAAATATGTAATAAAACAAATGATATACTGTAATAACATTTTATGATGCTAAAGTATTGGTGCCATTTGCACAACATTTTGTGCATGACCTTGTTGTCTCAAGTCATTGAACACCATTGTAGGCTTAAATAAACACACATTATTGACACAGCAAAAAATACCAAATTAAAAAAAAAACTGCATTTAAAAACAGTTTCATTGCATATTGTTATTTTTAAAGCTGAGCCATTGTACAAGACGTGATTTTATGATAGTTGGTAATCTCATATTTTATAGTTTATTGACCTATAGTTGACAACGGGTTTTCTTTACCAATTAATTGACTAAGCCGTTAGACACATCGTACAGTTTTATTCAAGGCCTAAGGAAATTTAATTTTTATTAAAAACTAATAAATTTTACTGATAAATCTACTCTTATTAATATAGTTTGAAACATATAAAGGGAAAATGGTTAGAAAAAACTGCAAATAAACTCTCTGATTACTCTAAGATAAGGTTTTGGCTGGATAATGTAGTTTAAGTTCCAAAGGCTAAATTTGAGGGCTTGAGAGACAAAAAAAGTCATTGCCTTTACTTTATGCTTTAGATTCTAGATCATATGATGTACACGAATGTGAAGGGATTAGTTTTTTACTGAATCGCATTTAGAATAAGTCTAAATAATACAAATAGGGATATTATATATTAAAATAAATCAATTAATTAGAACGATAGTTAACCTATTAAAACTTATACCATACCTACTTTGTCTTACGTGTAAATCATCTTAATTTTCAATTTTGCCACGTTTAATTAAGCTGTAAAGCCAATTTCACTTACATGGTAGACATCCTCTTTTCATTCTAATTTAATAATAATAATAATTTCTAATAAAAAATTTCCATACAGACGAACAATTAAAACTGAAAATTTCTTCAATAAAGTTCAATAACAAACTCGTGATAGTATTTAACATCTGTTAACCAGCTTTGTTGCAAGTTGCAAATAGTATGTGCTCTATGGTTGCGACATGTAGTCATCGGGATCGGGAAATGTCACAACAATGGAATCGACCACAATTAATAGAACAGAAACAGTGTGGATCAAAAACATAAAAGAATTACGTCACTGGATAAAATCTAATACTAATAACCTCTGCATCTGTTTTGGCCGTTTTTTTTTTACTGTAGCATTCAAACAATAATATAGACGTGTTTATTTTTGGGTCATTTGGTTTGTTTATGATCCGTACCGTTTCTATCTTATAATCCGTCGGATCGTCAATCAAGCAACATTCCGGCAGAACATCGCCAAAAACTAAAAAATGTCCTTGGCTTTTCTTCAAGACTTTTAGTTCAACCTTAGTGCATATTTTTTTTTTATGGTTAAATAAATGCACTATGATTTTGAACAGTAGTAATAATTATCCCAGTGCTTTGTAAAACACCTCAAGTGTATTTTAAATAACCAACGACTAATAGTATTCATAGGAGTGTCCTTTTCATTTTGACTGTATTAAGTAATTTATTAATTATTGTGTTAAAAATGTTTGTTACAATTCATTTATTTACATTTTCATAAAACTGTCATGGCTACTTGGCCATCCATAAGACCAATGTTAAAAATATTAAAATTTAATTTTAAGTTTTTAATGAAAATCAAAATTTTCCAGAACAGAGGCTTGCATGGATATTGTTTTTAGCCTGAAATTAAGATATTTCTAATAATTTAGAGGAAATGATTGGAGCCATTTTTGAAATCATTGTACGCTAACATTACTCGTATTGTCTTAATCAGTGAAAATATGAATAATTTTAGTCAAAGATCATTACATTTCAACAAACATTTGATTTCTATGCCCAACTTACCTCAGTACTCCATTTGTAAATCATAGAAATACCTTCAGTTAATGAGTCAAGTTTGGCTTGAGTATAATACATTTGCAATTATAAAATGGGCTCTCAGGTTTTGGCAGTTGTGAACTAAAAGTAAATTCAAGATTTTACTTACCACTAGCATGGTGGTACAAAAATCAGTAGTAAAAAATCCTTTAAATGCTATCTTATTTGGAACAAACAAGAAATTTAGGGAGGAATCGCACAAGCCTTAAGGAGTCAGCTATGAGTCTTTTTATGAACAAAATAAGTGTTTGGATCTCTTTTGTGGAACTGGCCGGAAAGTTCAGAAGCTCTATTATTGTTTCAGTTCTGTACTTTTCTGGGAGCCTGCATCCCGCCTCTAGGGTTTCTCACTGTGTGGGAGATGACTACCTCCTTGGCAGCTGCTTCTTTTGCTGCTCTGCTCATTCTTTGTGGTAAGGTCACAACACAGTGGTATGAGGTATATAACAAAATTGGTTCCTTGGTACAGTCCAACCTCAGTATAACTAATCTGAAGGGACCGAACTAAATATTTGTTATATCAAGGATTTCGTTAAAACGAGGTTCGTTATATTGGGGTTAGGTTTGCAGGAATTTCGCTAAGTCGAGGTTCAGAACCAGCATCAGTCAATATAGGTCGGGATTGGACCTCAATGGCCTCATTAAAACACAATTAAAGTAGCATAGGCTACAATACTTTACAGTGAACAGTGTTTACATTTTAAAGTAGAACCCCGATTATCCGGGGTACTAAAGGGAAGGGATCTTTAATATTGCGCAATCATGACATTTCTAGTTATGGACCTTGGTACAGGTTACGGTTACAAACTGTATGTTTAAAATCACAGCTTACTCTAACCCACCTAAAACCTAGCCAAACACTGTATTTTATAGCAATAAACCACGTAAAGAACAAAACAAAACAGTTTAGAGTTTTGTAAGCTACTGCTCGTGATAGGCCGGTAGGCTACAGTCTAGGAGGATTAAACATTAAGGAGAGGGCACGCGAATAGGAATACACGTGTTGCGGTGAAGCCAGCTTTAGCAGAACATTAGAGGGGCACGCGGAGCCGTAGAGTGGCAAAAAGCCTCGGCTATAACATGGGAGAGATAGGGAAAAACGCGACGCGCGCTGTTTTGAATTAAAATTGCCGCTAAACTAAAACACCTGTGTTATTCACCGATGGCATTCTTAAAGTAAATTAAATTTCCTATCGAACAGTGTCAATCATTCCTATAAAAAATATTATTTATTATTTATTATTGAAGATCAAAGTTGAAAGAATTGACCTGGACTTTGAACATACGATTACTTTAATTACGTTTTTGATAAAAATATGATGTATCTACACAAATTAACAATTTATTCGTGTTCCTTAAGAGTTTCTCGAAATAAAAAATATATATTTACCTACATTTAAAAGTGGTATTTAGAAAAATAATTACTATAAAGTTTTTTCAAATTTTTCCAGTTTATAAAACAATCTTACTAATAATAGGTTAAAATGAAAATTTTAATTCGGGTGATGAAATACATTTTAAATTTGCTTTTCATAGTTTTCTCGATTTGTTAATATAATTTTTTACTAGTTTTAAGTCATTTATGTGCTAGGCAGGTGATTTTAAATAGCCAAAGTTAAGAAAAAATGCAAAGCCGCTATAACTTTTTTTACATCAACAGCCGTTACAATTAAATTACAATCATAAAAAGTAAATCAATTTCTTGGCAATCAAATTCTTGATTTTTTAAATATCATATTGAACTATATTTGATCTGTTTACCTAAAGAAACTTCGAGTAAAAAGTGTAAATGTTCAACAATCATCGCGTCTTGTAACCGCCAAAGTGCGTTTATCATTCTTTTAAAGGATTAAAACTTATTTTATTTCTCTTTAAGAAAATGTTCAAGTACACATACAGTACTACTCATGATTTCAGTTTTAATTTATAAACAGTAAAATCCATTGGTGATATGGTGGGATTTGAACCCGGGACCCCATGTACCGGAGTCCCGCGCTCTGGTTAGAGTATTATAAATAATACACAATACAAGTATGGCAAAAAATAAAAACAAGGACAACGAATTCCAAAAAAATAAGTCATCCTTGTGTAAATTACTCACCTTTGAACGTACTATTGGTTCATAAATATGACTTTCCTCTTAATAGGTTGCTAATATTATGGTTAGAATTTAACTTTTTAATTTTCGTAGCATGATGAAGTCTAATTTTTAAATAATCATATTTCTGTTACCAAATCTTCCAGTAATCTTCCATACAACGCAGAATGAGAGGGGGCGGGAGAGTAGCGCTGCCTCCCCCCTCCCCAGTACGCTGGCTTCAACGAAACTACAGCGTGTCCTCTCCTTAATGTTTAATCCTCCTAGGCTACAGTGCTACAGTACTGCTTTAAATCACAACAGAGGAATGTCAATACTGTAATAATCATCAACTATAGCATTGGTGTTGCCTTAGTTTAAACAAATCATATTGAAAATAATAAAAATATTAGATAAGTCGTTTTAAGTGTATAATCATAGCCAACTTAAAGATAATAATACCCCCGCCGCAGCAAACCTGCCGACTAAGCGAATTTCCATTTATCTGAATTGATTTTCAGTTAAATATATTTTAATAACATTAGGTTTAACGAGTACCTAGGTTTGCTGCTACAAGGAAACTAATAAAGATTGTTTTTGAGTAAAATATTGATAGCTTAGTACAAAATAAATAAATTTGCCAAGTTTGATCAAAATATATTCATAAACAAGCAAACTACAACATTTGACAATATTCTCCATAAGAATAACATGGGAATTTTAATTTTACAATTTTTTAAACTTTCTCCGTTACTAATAATCGAACAAAAATACTTTTATATACTAAATTATTTGTTTTTTTAAGTTTTTTAAAAAGGTCTAAGAAAAAATTGGGAAATTTTGTGTTTTGAGGGTCAAAAGTGAGAAAAACCAATTTTTACCCCATAAAACCCCCCGTAAAGCCCTGTTCCCATGGTCCGATCATGCTGGTTCGCGAACTAATTCAAGTTTATCTCGCTTTACACCTTTAAACCAAATTTCATCAAAATCGGAATTACTCAAGTTATCGCGTTCACGGACGTATATATATATATTTTTATATATATATACATATATAAAAATTTGAATGAATAGTGTTTTTGGCCTCTGGTAACATCAAAATGAAAAAGTAAATCGGTCCCTGGTCTAGGTCTTACCGTGCCACCTACGGTAATAGCTACTTCCCTAAAGGGAAATTCGCTAAAAACACTCGTAAAAGGAATGTGCTTTGTTCTTCTATTCTTTTTTCTTTCTAAGGTTTCTCTTCATCCAAAAATTTTACAATTCACCATATTTACTTACTTTTAATCACCCAATCACAGCTTACTACACATTACGTCGTCATCAGTCCTCATTGAATGAAATCAGTTCTCAGTTGAACATATAGCGCGAATGCAGCGATGACAGCAGACGGGCCGGGATGTGTAAAACGGAGCAGACGAATGTTAGCGCAAGCGTTGACGTCACCTTTCCATTTCATTTTATGAAGAAACTGATTTTTCAAAAACAATAATGGGGGTGGGGGGTTCGTTGTATCGAGGGAGAGACACAGACAATTCGTTAAGTAGAGGTTAAATTCGCTATGTAGTAGGGGTCTGCGGTACAGAAAATTTAAGGTCGGTACGGTACAATATTTTGTACCTCGGTTCTCGGTAAAAAATCGGTACGGTACGCGGCTACCCGTATTTTTGCGGTTTTCTTCTCAGATCTGTATTTGAACCATTATTTTTAATTTTAATACATTGACATTACTATGAAAATGGATAGTATCCTACATTCATGGTTTTCTAACAACAATTCTGTACCACACATTATTAAAACATTTTACTCCTTCGAGGATTGTGTCTAGAAAAATCACAGTTAAGATAAAGGCTTTACCTATTTTACTCTGAGATACTTTGAATAGCCATGATAACAATTATTTCCAACCAATACAATGTCTAGTTGTTTTTTAAACTTTTAAAAACATATAAAAGCATTCAGTACAAAAACAGTGTAGTTGACAGCTATTCACATTCAACAGATGACAATGAAAAAAAGGATGTTATGATGAAGTAATAGCAATTAGCATCTTTTTTATCAGCTTGAAAACTAATTATAAGATGGATACATCTTTTGCAAAGTTTTTTTCTTACACTAAAATTTGGATTACCACAGAGTAATATTATTGTCTTTTCATTTACAATGTTAACATCCACACAACATATCAATCATTAGTTCATTAACTCAGACTCAATCCAATTTTCTTAGTATATTTTAAGGATCTTCTAAAGAGTCAAAAGACCCAGGCCTAGACCTAATTATTTAAGATGGCCTATATAAATTGAGTAGGTTACAATGAGGGTAGCAAAATCACTATCATAATTCTAGTTCATAAGATTTAGATTGCATAAAGTACCTTCAACACAATAAAAAAATCTAAGAAACAAAAAACATTTCAACCTTAACAGCCACATCCAAAAATATAAGACAATATACAGAACATGCAATGACATTAATTTAAGACCGAGTAGGCTTGCATAACGGAAAAAAATATGCAAACAACAACTACTACGCTTGTGGTTTCATCAATAGAAAGATAAATTATCCATAACAAATATCTTAACTTATAAAATAAGATTGTAGATTAGTAACGACTTTAATATGAACCCATAAACAGTTTTAAGGCAGTAGGCAATGGCCAGCGGCAAATTGAATATTCACGAAAATACTGACTGAGTTAGAGATAACATTTACAGTCATCATAAAACTATTATTTTTATGATAAAATAGAATTGGGGAAAGCCGTAAAGGAATAAAAGTGATATAACTCAACAGTTCTTGGAAGTACTTGAATACAACAATTATTGTCTTGATAAAATGTTAATGGATTTGGGACTGCTAATGGGTTTTTTATTGCATCATCACCCTAGTAATAAATTATGAAGATCGTAAACAAACATCTGATAAGACTTTTATGTGCTCAGAACCAACCACCTCTGACTATGATAAGTAATTTATTATTATAATAGGCTGTACCAAACGGAATTTGTACCGCGTAAAATGCTGTACCGAACCGATGACGGTAATTAAGCTTGTACTGTACCAGACCGACTTTTTCGGTGCACCGCAGACCCCTACTATGTAGAGGTTCTGACAATGATAAATTCGTTATATTGAGGTGTCTTATTTTTATCCGGGATCATGAAAAATTCGTTAAATCAAGGTCGTTGATATGGTTTGTTCGTTATGTAGAAGTAAAATATACATTGTGTTTTATGGAGAGTTCTAGGGGATTAAAAAAAAATTGGTTATATCAAGGAATTTGTTTTATTGAGGTTCGTTATATGAAGGTTAGACTGTATCAAGCCAAATATA